GTGTCCAAAAGCAAGTAAGCAAAGTTTCCTTTCGCAGTCGTTCCGATTGTTCACGCCTTGCCACACTCATCCCTCTGCCCTCTGCCCTCTGCCCAACCTTGTCATGACCGTTCAAATTCCTAGCAGCTCTTAGGTCACTCGTAAGAAAAGGCCCGGACGAAGCTAGACTTCGCAAATCTAACTGAACTGAACTGAAGCAGTTCTCAGATTCAAACTAGGCCTCACCTCACTCTACGTGAGGCCAAACAGGATTGCGGTTTTTCTCTATACATACTCCAAATTTGTTCTTCGCTCTGCTCCTCTACCATCCTCTCAAGATGTCTCACCATTTCCCTCAGTATCTCTTCCCTCTACCCCAAACCATCCTACATCTATTCCCCTATTCCTCAGCCAAATTCCCTTTGCAGTCTAAATTCAGATAATCCAGTCTCTACCACTTTCCCGACGCCTGTCCCTCCTTCTCGCTTGACCCATCGCACCAGGCAACCTAAACGTCCCACTCTATTTTCTTCTACCACACCCACTTCTACACCCTCCTCTTCCTCTGCTCCTCAGATATCTATTCCCTCTTCTCTGCCTCACAAGAGAATCCTTGTATCACAGATCTCTTCACCCAACTTTCCTCCAGAAACTCTTGAAGACATCCAAAACTTCCTGAACATGCCATCCACCCTCCAACCCGCTGTTTTTTTTCCTTCTACATTTAAAGTATTTGCTGATATTCATCCTCCTCCTCCTCAGCTTCCCCCAACCCCCTTCCTCCCACACTCTCCCAACACACCCCATCCTCTCCTCTCTACATGCGTCATTCCACCTTCGTTCCCCATTATCCTTACTGCTCCCACCTGGATGTTCACGTGAATCCATTCTGTCGCAACAGTGTCCTTCTGCAGATGCCTCCCCTCCTGACATTCTTCTGATATTTCACCACCTTTCCCAGTCCCCCTTTCTCATTCTTCTCAGTGGCCATCTCTGTTTTCCTTGAACAATGTCCCAATTCCTTCCCCAGTCACAGATAAATTTCATCAGTCGACTAGCTCCTTAACCCTTTCATATTTTACTAATCTCTGCTTTACTTCATTTGCTCTACCTCTTTTTCCATTTCACTACAAAATTAACCTATAATGCTATGTAATATTTGACATCTAATGCATATTAACCAAATCCTTAAATTCTTTACGTTTTGGCAAAACAAATACGAATTGCATTTGGCAAAGTTTTAGTATTTTTTATTTCGTAATGTAACCGAGTTTCATTTCGTTTGTATTTATTCTGTTTGCAGTTTAAACTTCATTTTTATTTTGTTTTATGGCTAGAATACACCCCATTGTCCACAACTGGCCTTACCTTTGTTAGAGCTTTGGCTATCAAGTCTCTAGATATTTTGGCAGAATCCAGTATTTAACCCTCTTCGCAGTTTAACATAGTATTTGGCAGAATTCAGAATACAGGGTGAGTTATTTTAGGCGGTAACAATTACTTGACACTATCCCACATTCAGGCTGGACTCTTGAATTTTGTCTTTCATCACAGATCACAGCCAATTTCAGGTTGCTGTCGATTGAATACAGCCAATATAATTACAAGAAAATATTTTTGTTTTGGATGCCATCACAGGTTTCTTCTTCATATTCTCTTTATCAATCTTAGTTATATTCTGCCGATGTGTTTATCAGTTTTAATGCTCTCCTATCATTAGCAATGTGTATTACCTTCTGTTTGCACAAATCTAGAAATTTCAACATTACAACAAACTCCTTCAAGCATCTTTATAGAATTTATAAAATACCAATAAAGAATGGCATTTTTGTATAGTACTTATTATAGACTTGTAATTGATTCTGCAAGCTTTTTGTAATTAATTGTTTTTAGTCAAATATTCATATTTTCCCTTGTAATAGGCTTTTCCAGTGTTGTGAAAATAGATATAGAACATAGAGTAGGTCTAAGTAATAAAAGATACTTTTTGTGATTATCATATTCTCAAAGAATGATTTGAAAAAAGTTAGCATTGACAAACTTTCTTTAGTTTGTTGTTATCTCATTAGTATGGGAAGCTTTGAATGCTCTTTTATATCCTTATTAATATAGGCATGCTTTTCCATTACAGAAAACAAACCAATAGTAGAGGCTTCCCTTTGATAAAGCTTTATGAAAATTATGTTCACTCTTACTGACAGTAGGTCACTAAATCTCAAAAGGACTAAAGTTTTTTTTAATCTGTTCTTTATTCTAGAGTGGTAAGAGTAAATAGAAGTTAACTCTTTTGTCAAATATCTAAACAAGAATGAAAACTTTGATAGACTCATACATATATATATTATCATATATATATATATATATATACTATATACATATATATATATATATATATATATATATATATATATGCTATATACATATGATATATATATATATATATAGCTACATATATATATGTATAATATATATGTATATATATATATATATATATATATATATATATATATATATATATATATATATATTAATATATATATTATATATATATATATATACATATATACACACACACACACACACACACACACACACACACACACACACACACACACACATCACACACACACACACACACACACACACACACACATATATATAATATATATATATATACATATATATATATATATATATATATATAGTATATATATATATATACATATATATATATATATATATATATATATATATATATAGTATATATATATATATATATATATATATATATATATATATATATATATATATACTATATATATATATATATATATATATATATATATATACATATATATATATACTATATATATAATATATATATTATATATATATATATATATATGTATATATATATATATATATATATGTATATGTATGTATGTATGCATGTATGTATATATGTATGTATGCTACACACACACACACACACACACACACACACACACACACACCACACACACACACACACACACACACACACACACACACACACACACACACACACACACACACACACACAGTGCTTAATCATTAGCAATGAAAAGAAAAATAAGTAATTATTAAAGCCCTATGATAATTTTACAGGGCCATTTTGATTCTTATCACTGTTAAAAATATTTCAAAATGAATAGATTTTTGGAATATAACAGGCTTGAAACTTGTAATGTATAGAGATTATGTTATTTTCTCAGTATTTAGATTACTTGTTTAAATGAAGCAGTATATAAGAAATAATGTCTGTGATTTTTTGTACCCTTAAAATTTGATATTAACATTTATTGTAAAATGAAAATGAAACACATCAAGTATCAAACATTATTGTTTTATTTGTATTAATGTATGAAACATTTTCCTTTCAAGTATAAACATCACAATAGATATACATATCATCAAGATACATACACATTATATAAACATGACATGGGATATATGAGATGGGATTCTAAGTTGTGATAGCAAAATGACTTAAGATGCCAACATTTAAGATCTATGTTGGGACTAAGATCAAGTTGCATAATTGAGAGAGTAACGTCAATTTTACCTTTCTGATAAGGTTTCCTTTTCCTTTAAATGTTTGTCATATTAAACTGCTTTGTTCATAGTAAGAAATAGAGAAAAATGATGAAAGGATACTAAGTGCCATTAGGATAAAAAGTGTAAAGAGACACAATGAATATATATGTGACCAAGTGCATTATCAAATATATTCAGATACTCATGTTTACTCTGGAATGATTTTTTTTTGACATTTGGTGTACATCCTTTTCTAATTCTTAACAGCTTGAATATTATTTGTATTACAGTACAATCCGGCTTTACCTTTCAAGTCTGTTGTCACAGTATTCATGTCACTTCACCACAAAATACTAATTTCTTAGCATCTGTATATCCCAAGAGCCACTCATTAGGCCACCTGAACTCAGGAAATAATTTGCATATAGATTCCAAAAAGAATCAATGGCATACACAAATTTTACGTTTTAACTTCTCCATACAGGATTTTAAAACTTATTCTTTTGAGATACATGCCTCATTCTGCCTCCTTTGTCCCTGCATGAGCAAAGCATAAAAGCACCAAAACCTCGTCTTCATATGGCAAGATTATAACCAACACCAAACTGCAGTGTATATGTAATATGTACAAACTTAAGATAAGTGTATTATGACAGATTCTTATTTAAAGTTTCAGTTCTCTTTAATGGCATATTTACAATTACAGTACCTTCAGAAGTTCATGATACTTTGGCTACATTCTCAGCATGATATGAAGTATTTCTTATACCAGTGCAAGGGTAAGTGGTAAGTATGCTGCAAAATTTTTTTTATTACTATGGAGCTGTGCTTTCATGAAAATAAGATCCTTGACAAAGTACAAAACAATGAAGTATTATTGAAGCAAAATTTATAGACACAGGATTTATGAAAATTACAATTTTAAACTATAAAATTATAGAATAGGAACTATGGCATATGGAATCATAGATAAACCTGTTGATATATTTCAGTATGAAGTTTTCACAATTGCTAGCAAGCAAAAATAGTAAAAGGGCTGCATGACTTTATGAAAATCTATCTTGTTAACTTAATTCCTGAAATACAAGGTACACTAAAACATATACACTGTGACAAGTCGTTAAGTAAACTACAGTTGATAAGGCAAAGCAGTTTAGCTTAAATAATGTAGTATCATGACATAGATTTATCTTCGGCAATATGCTATTAAGTGGCACAAGGAATATTGCTGTGAGGCATAGAATATACAGGCATATGGTGCCTTAACAATTTACAATGATCAAATACAATAATTATGTTCATTACACTAAATGTATGTAACACAAATTTGTAAGGGAAACGTGATATTTTACAAAAGCTGAGCTTGGTATTTTTTCAAGAATGATAGTCAACTTATATAATAAAAGGTGCATTAAATATGGTACAAATGAATCACTTAGAAATGCTTAGACGAAAGGAGGGAACTTTTGGTCCTCTGATGGCTGCTCATTGGCAAGAGGCAGGACTCCAGCATTTACAGATGGAACAGGATTTACCAAAAGGTTGTCTAAAGAGTTTGACACAGGAGCAATAGGTATCACTGGTCGTGCAGTTACAGGTTGTGGTGTGGTAGGTGGGGGAGCAATGGGTGCTGGTGGAGGTCTAGCTGGGGTTGGACGGGGTGCTGCAGGTGCGGGAGGTGCAGGAAGAGCTTGTGGTGCTGGTGGGGGAGGTGGGGTCATTCCAATGATATTGTTTGAATTTGGACCAGATATTGGTGCAGGGAATGCTTGCACTGTCTGTGGCTGAGTTGCAGGTTGTGATGGTCTGAAGGTTTGTGGTGGGGGCTGCAGAAGGAGGGAATCAGGCTTGGGAGATCCAAAGTTCCTGCCATCATTGATTGGAGACGGAGATGGTGGTGGTGGTGGAGGCCGGAACTGCACGGAGTTGCTGGGGGGACTTGGTGGGATGAACTGTGGTGCTGGTGGTGCTGCCGGTGCTGGTGGTGGTGGAGGTGGTGGAGTCTGAAACAGTAGAAATTATATATAAGTTATAATCATGATACTAATTCCAATTGGAGATATATTTATTTTACTCTCCTAATAGAACTGAAGACAGAAGTCCCAAATTGGTTATTTATTATTTCTCCATTACAACAATTTTTTTTTTAAAATCACCCATCCTTCTAGATCATTTGTAATCAACTCTTGTAGCAGTGAGGATATGTATGCCTCACATTCTGTCAACTGAGCAATAAATAACATACTGGTCTAGAGACTGGTGGAGGTGCAAAAACGATAGAGGACTGTGGCTGTGGTAGTGGCTGTGGCTGAGGCCTGAAGACTTGCTGAGGTGGCGGCGGCGGAGGTGGCGCTATCTGGTTCTGTTGGAGAGGTCATTCTGTTAAAAATGGGTTCAGCAAGGGTATGGACTCTCTTTTTCTGTACTAGTTTGATATTACTTAAATAAGTGAGGATACACTCATCTAATTGTTTTTATATAATAGCACACATTTTTAGATTTTGGAACTTGTCTGTTTGTACAATTACTGAATCATCTTTGTATAATAAGCATCTGAATATAATTACAATAACATATATAATTATAAACACTGTCAAATACAAACTGTAGTTAGAAACTACATTCTACAGTACATTGTTTGTTAAATTCAAGAAACACTATGGATTAAACAATGTTCTTTAAAGCCATACAAAGTGAAGTGCATTCAACAGCCAAAGGAAAAATACAAGAAGAATGATAATGATATGAAAGCAGATTACAGGACTGTATATATAAGGAGAGGAAGAAAAATCATAAGGGGGAAAATGACTAGGGAAGATTCAGTATATTAACAGTCATTTACACTGTACATGAACTCACACATAGATGAACTAGGCTACAAAGTAGTTGAAAAAATAAACAAATGAACAATGCAGAGGGGGCACCATCTATTTATGAATATGACACTACAACATGCTGGAGGTGAGATCAGTGTCTCCAGCAGTAACAGCTGTCAAATATTTTGTTCAGAAGCTGTCACTGTGTCTTCACTCTGTTACCCACACTTGGAATTCATTCACCAGATACAAAATTATACAATAGTACTGAGTCAGTTGTCACACATCTGTAAAGAATTGTAGATTATTGTGAATAAGATGCAGAATAATGCACAGCTTCATTCATCTTTTTTTTTTCATTCTGCTAGCTTCGGTGTAAAACTGTCAAAGAAAAAATCCTGTTGTCAAAGGAAAACAAAATGTCTTGTGTAAATGCAGAATCAAGAAAAATGGGGAAGAGTAAAGAAATGAAAAGGCTCATACGTGTAAAAATATCTATATATTTCTTTTGCAGAAGTGTTCAGGTAAACTGGTGGTGCACGTAGGTGTGTGTTGAGGTGCCAGTCCAAAATATTTCCATGGTATCTGACTGCAGAGACAGATATCATACACGTGTTTATTAACAAATGCTCCTTCCTTTTAATGAGTTGCCGTCTTGCATTTTTATACAATAGATGTTAGAGAAAACTAGTGTGAATCTTTGCATGGAAAACTCCTAGCACGGATGAAATCCCACGTACACTCCCTTTAACCTTTATTAGTACAAGCATTTTAATTACATATAAAAAAGCTACAAAGAAGAAGAAAGTAAATGCTTTTGTCTTCCAACCTCCGTCCTAAATCTGTGACAACGATGCAATCTCCCATTTCTCCCAAGGCAAAGACGAAATCTCTGTAGGGAAGACATGTAACGAATATCATGAGAAAATATACCTGTTCCTTTGTGTGTGAAGATAACTATGTCGCCCTACCTCTTACCCCCTTTGCTGCCAGAGGATCAGAAATGCAAAGGGCATTTCAAATCCAAAATGGCATTGTTCAACAACCTGAAAGAGGATTAACTGTCCTGTGGAATGTAAGGGTTGATTTAAAGGTATCTTAAGACTGTCTTCAACTTTTGCATAATACCAGATTTAAATGAAGTCATTTCTGATTTGTCGGTCTCATTAGTAACCATTAATGTACTTGCATCATGCATATGAGTTATGCCAGAATTATTTATATATCTAATGTTCATTAGTCTGGAATATTGATTCACCATAGCATGTTAATATTGATGAGTAAATTGACTCTCATGAGTTTTTATAATGTATATTCATGCCATTGCATATTTTCAAGTAATAGGGGTTTGGGGAATTATAATAAACTGTATTTGAGTAAAAATGGATGTTTGGTTACGGTGAACTAACTTTGAGTCAGAAACACAACCATACCCCCTGAAATATACTTTTTGGGTCATAATTACTGCCTATCAAGTCAAATATGGACATTTGCATACGGCTGTTAGACTGTATTCCAACAGTCAATAGAATACCTATGAATCTGATCTTTGTATTACGCAAACAACAGAAAGACAGGGAAACAAGGGAAGAAACTCACATACATGAATAAATATCCAACATCTCATACACACAATATAAAGTACAGGTCAGTGTTAGGCAAACCCCCTTCGAAGGCTTGCACTCTCGACCTCTCCCGACCGGAAACTCACCTGCTGCTGCTGGAGGAACTGATTCGCTGGGACAAGCACAGGAGGACGGGGGCGTGGCCGAGGTCGAGGCCTGGAGAACAAGGGTCTGAAGCCGCCGAAGAGAATTCTAGGAGGCGAGGGCAAGGGGAATCTGAATTGCGCCTGTACCACTGAGGCTGTTGCCACGACCACCAGGAGCGCTAGCCACACCTGCGGATAAAGTTGTGTGTTAATTAAGGGATACTGTGGCTGCTTTGCTCTACAGTGAAATCTATCCTTACCTGCTCACACTGATACGGTGTACTCCCTTCACAACGCAGAAGGTGAAAAAATGTAATTTCTGTTAATCATAAGAATGGCAATAGAAACTGATACTATATCACTCAGAACATTTGAAAAAAAAAAAAATCCTTGTTCTGATCTATGGGATGCTTGTCATCATTTGTAATTGGATCTGAACTCAATCATTTGACCATTGGCTATCAGCCATTCCCGTTGCAAAGAAGATGCATTTACTACCCTCAATTATTATTTTTTCGTTTTTAAAAATATATTATTATAATTATTATTATCATTATTTTTATTTATTTATTTATTATTATTATTATTTTTTTGCAAGTTCAGCCCATAAGCAATCAACGCTCGCATCGGACTGTTGCCTTTATTAAAAAAAAAAAAAAAAAAAAAATCTGACCAGCACAACATTACTTTGTTAAGTCGAGATGAACAATCGGCCTATTAGTTGACCGACCTATCCCGCCAACCACAAACTGAACCTTTTTTCTCCTCCATCCATCACACTCAACTTCCTTCCCAACAAATAACAAAGGCCAGAGGCCAGCATCGGGGTCCTTGTCCTCGACCTTTACCATATTCACAGGCAATTGTAATTTAACATCACCGCCACGAAGTCATTTTATGTCGATTATCACGAGAGGCAGCTCGCTCGTTCGAAGCTGTTTGAGTTTGCCTCTCCGTGGTCTTTGATGTTCTGTCCTCTCTTCTCTTCTCTCTCTCCTCTCTCTCTCTCTCTCTCTCTCTCTCTCTCTCTCTCTCTCTCTCTCTCTCTCTCCTCTCTTTCTCTTCTCTCTCTTTCTCTCGTTCCTATTTCTCTCTATGCACAAACTGGATTCTTTCTCTCCAGTGAGCATCTCGGCCGTTTCCTTAAACCAACCTTGTTAAAAAAATAAGAACAAAAAAGTCATTGGCCACTAATAAATAATAACGATACTAACAGAAATAAAACGGAATAGAAAAATAAGAGAGAAAACCGAACGACTACTCTGTGATGAGTCTCGGTGCTGGAGGCAAGGTCGCTGAGGGTCGCTGTGCCTCCAACCGGTTGACCTTATAAGACAAGAGAGAGAGAGAAAAAAAGTCGTTGCGATTCTCCACGGCATAAGGAGAGGCAGAATCAAGGTGTCGCAGATCATTAAGATTTTCGTCGTCAGGGCTTCTGATTATCTGGGTAATTTTGCCTAATTTGTGGGAACGCGGGACCAGCACGAGCGTGTCCATGCACTGGCTTACGTACACCCTGAGTTATTTTTTTTTTATAACATTTTTTCTCCCTCTGCAACAAGGTCGGAGTTAAATGGACCCATTGGTTACGAAACTTGTGATATTTATTGGCCTCCATGAATGCTCCAAAAGCTCGGTTTCTCTTCGGTGGGCTTGTTAACGATCAAAGTGATTATATTAATTGCTTATTGTCATGTAAGAAAGTGATTTTTTTTACAATCATGTAGTTGAAACATTTTGGGTAAGGACGGTGAGCTTTTATCAAGGATATCATGTATGCATGTCACGCACACATGCACGCACCCCCCTGCACAATTATCATAATTTTATCATCATCAATATTATTACTTATTATTATTAAAATTACTATCATTAGCAATTGTTATTATATAATATATTAATTATTAATATTACTATTATTATCATATTATTATTATTATTTTATTATTTATTATTATTATATATTATTATTATATTATTTATTATTATTATATTATTATTATATTTATTATTATTTATTATTTATCATCATCCTAAATTCATATTTTTACGCCCTCTAAAACATACACAAATCTGAATACGTCGCGATCCGAAACACTGTAGCGGGGGTTTGCACATGTTCGCTGAACGAGCCACTTATCTCAGCATGAGGAACGGAGCCCCGTGGAGCCTGGCACGTCTATCCATCAAACACTTGCTCTGCCTGCCTTGCGAGGGAAGTAAAGCTGTGGGGTAAGAATTAACGAGAGCTTCTGTTTTCGCTTTGTGAGGAGCGTGGCAACTGTCGGCATGGCGTGTTGATACTGCTTCGATTTTTGTTTCGAAGTCCTGTTCTTTTTGTCTGTATGTCTGTTTATCGATTTGTATGCTGGCTATCAATTTGTGTTTGTTGATATTGTTCGAAGTACGTTCTTTTTGTCGGTATGTCTTATAATTTGTCTGATAATTCCAGTTCTTTTTGTCTGCATGTATGTCTGGTTATCAATTCGTCTGTTTTTCAATCTATTGATCTGTTTGTTTGTCTGTCTGCCCTTTCTTTCTCTCTCTCTCTTCCTCATTTACATATAACGGCCAATTCAGGGTTGATGTCCCGAATCGCCGTCAGCAGAGACTAAATTGAAACCTGAAACACTTGTTCTCTGACACTAATGTTTCCAGCTTCTTTGTCTTCATTAATCGAAAAACTCATTGGTTTTCTTCTTTTCCGTTTTTGCAATCGCCCGTGTACATGATGATCTCTTCACAGCAGGTACAGTTTTGCACAAGCAAGGTAAACACATTCTAGGCAACACACAAACAGTCCCCGTGGTGTTAACATTCGTCCATTGAGGATAGTTACCTTGGGGTTAGTTGTATCGGTTTTTATGGTTCATAAAAGGCTGCTAATAAGGGTCAAAGTGAAGGGCTGGTCCTTTGCTGGAACGACATTGGCGTCCTCTCCTCTGCGCAGCCCTTTACTTTTGTCAGGGAGTTCATTGATTTATTATGGTTTTGTTTATTTACGATCGTTATCATTATGATGATCATTATTAGCTGTATTTGTATTTGCATGCATTTGTTGTGTGTGTGTGTGTGTGTGTGTGTGTGTGTGTGTGTGTGTGTGTGTGTGTGTGTGTGTGTGTGTGTGTGTGTGTGTGTGTGTGTGTGTGTGTGAGAGAGAGAGAGAGAGAGAGAGAGAGAGAGAGAGAGAGAGAGAGAGAGAGAGAGAGAGAGAGAGAGAGAGAGAGAGAGTGAGTGAGTGAGTGAGTGAGTGAGTGAACGAGTGAGTGTGTGCGCGTGCGTGCTTTACAGGCCTGTAATAATAAATCCGAGACCGACGGACGGCACTGAACCACGCTTCCGAAAGGCCTACATCCGAAGAGAAGCCCCGCCCGGCGCCCTCGACTTCCACTTCTGCTTCTACGACCGGCGCCTCTCTGCTTTGTCCACCCCTTCTGCCAAACCCAACGGAGGAACTAAGTCACTTTTCACCCACGGGAGTATTGCGGCCACCTCGTGTTCTCCGGTGTGATAACGGCCTTCCGATCTCTCTCCACGCACGTTCCTCTCACTCGACACCCCAGGCCGTTCACTCTGCGGCCGATGGAGGAAAATGGGGGCTTCTTTGTCAAACTTTTTTTTTTTTTTTTTTTTTTTTTTTTTCTTCGGTACGTGTTCTTTTCATCGTCTTTTCTTCCCTCCTCCTCGGGGGCTCTCTCATTTTGGTAACATGACGAGCAATCGCATACTCATGGACATATGTTTGATAAGAGCCATTGTCTTTTTAACCTATTTTTTCCCCGTTTTTCCTCCCAGATTGCGATAATGTTTAGGTTCGTCCCGTACTGCCATTTATCGAGGTAAATTCACGTGTTTTTCTCCGGGCGCTGATCTCTGTACTTCTTTTTTGTTTTCATTTGTTTTTATGCTTTACGTCCAAGAGAAGAGAGAAAGATGGAAAAATCACTTGGAGAGGTAGGCTGGGGAAGCCATCGTCCAGCGAGGCAAGGAGAGCAAGACAACAGCTGTCGTGGGAGTTGTTTGGAGATGGAAAGTGTACGCGTTAATAGGGAGAGAAGAGAAAGAACAAACGTGATAATTATTTAAAAGAAAAAAAAAGTGATAACCATAATACGAACGCGGAAGCACTAGTGATATATCAGAAATGACCAGAGAGAGAGAGGAGAGAGAGGAGAGAGAGAGAGAGAGAGAGAGAGAGAGAGAGAAGATAGAAGAGAGAAGAGAGAAGAGAGGAGAGAGAGAGAGAGAGAGAGAGAGAGAGGAGAGAGAGAGAGAAGAGAGAGAGAGAGAGAGAGAGAGAGAGAGAGAGAGAGAGAGAGAGAGAGAGAGACAATCGAAATTCCACTTCAAAAAAAAAAACTTTATTCCAATTGTTACAATAGTTATTTCATTACTCATATATCACACATATTATAAATATAAGCCAACACATAGAATCAATGATACTACATATAAATCTTATCCGTCCTTATAACTCACGAAGTAAAGGGAACCGACAGAACGAGAGAGAAAAGAGAGAAAAGGTTTGGGAAGAACACACGCGCCTTTCTGCATACCATATCACTGCCTTCACCGTCCTGACCACAACACCACAACAACTACCTGCTTCACTGGACTCGCATTGTACGAAAGGAACTGCATTTTTCTTCACTAAAAGGGATAAAGATGAACCAGGAACCAGCCAGCATGTGCGTGTCTCGAAACAGATGATTATTCGCTCACAAAGAGTATCAGTTTGTCAAAGGAAGCGAGAGGGAAGCGAATAAACAAAAATAAAAATGTTAACTAACTGAAGTATATCAAGATTGTTAAAGGAAACGAGAGAGAAACGAATGAACAATTAATTAAAGATTGTTAAGGGAAACAGAGAGAAAAAAAAAACAATAAAATGTTAACTACCTCAACTGCATCAAAATTGTCAGAGGAAGCGAAAGGGGAAACTAATAAAAAAACGAAAAATGTTAACTACTTGAACTACATCAAGATTGTCAAAGGAAGCGAGAGGGGAAGCGAATAAACAAAAACAAAAATGTTAACTACCTCAACTGCATCAAAATTGCCAAAGGAAGCGAGAGGGGAAACGAAAAAGAAAGAAAAGAAAGAAAAGAAAAAAAAAAACGAAAAAATGTTAACTACCTAAACTGTAAGTGCTGTTTTGTCAACCGAATGTGCTCCTCTTAATAATGGTAATTAGGTGATTTAAAAACTACTGCCAGGGTAAGTGTCGGAGCAACTACATTGGTGTAACTTCGCTAAATTATCGGTGCGTTGTGATAATGATGGTGCAGGTTCGGCTTCTGTTAAGGAGTGTTTTCTCCTTGGATTTTTTTCTCTTTCTTTCTTTCTTTCTTCTTCTTTTTTCTCCTATTTTTTTCTTTCTTTCTCTCTGTCTGTCTGTCTCTCTGTCTCTCTCTCTCTCTCTCTCTCTCTCTCTCTCTCTCTCTCTCTCTCTCTCTCTCTCTCTCTCTCTCTCTCCTCTCTCTCTCTCTCTCTCTCTTCTCTCTCTCTCTCTCTCTCTCTCCTCTCTCTGTCTGGCTGTTTCTCTCTCTCTCTCTCTCTCTCTCCCTCTCTCTCTCTCTCTCTCTCTCTCTCTCTCTCTCTCCCTCTCTCTGTCTCTCCTCTCTCTCTCCTCTCTCCCTCTCTTTCTTCTCCTCTCTCTCTCTCTCTCTCTCTCTCTCTCTCTTCGTCCTCTCTCTCTCCATTATACTCATTCACTCTACTTACCACTGTTATCATGAATTTCCATTTCTCTCTTTTTCTTCTCACGCTACAGCACACCTCTCCTTTCGCGTTTTGTCTTGTTCTTTTATTCTTTCTCTCGTCTCTTCTTCCTTCGCTTTTCCTCTTTCTT